TAAACCTGAATCTCTGAAACTACTGCAGGACAGAGTAGGAGAGACACTTGAACTAATAGGCACAGGAAGGAACTTCCTGAACAGAGTCCCAGGGTCACAACAAGTTGGAGAGAGACTCGACAAATGGGACTACCTTAAAATAAAAAGCTTCTGAACAGCTAAATCTATCACAACTAAGCTAGAAAGATAACCAACTATTGGGAAAAAATATTTACCAGCAATATATCAGACAAGGGGTTAACATCCTGTATATACAGAGAACTCAAGAAACTAATCCCTCCCAAACCTAACAAACCAATTACTAAATGGGCAAGGGAACTAAAGAGGGACTTCTCAAATGAAGAAATAAAAATGGCAAAGAAACACATGAGGAAATGTTCATCATCCCTGGTGGTGAAGGAAATGCAAATAAAGACAACCCTGAGATACCACCTTACCCCAGTCAGAATGTCCCACATCCACAAATCAGCCAACAACAAATGCTGGAGGGGATGTGGAGAAAGAGGAACCCTATTACACTGCTGGTGGGAATGTACACTTATACAACCACTTTGGAAAGCAGTCTGGAGGGTCCTTAGAAAGCTAAAGATTGACCTCCCTTACGACCCAGTCATACCACTTCTAGGCATCTACCCTGAACAACAGGAACCAATATACAAGGACACGTGCACCTCCATGTTTATTGCAGCACTGTTCACAATAGCTAGGATATGGAAACAACCCAGATGCCCCACCACAGATGAATGGATCCAAAAATTGTGGTATCTATACACAATGGAATATTATGCAGCCATTAGAAATGACAAAATAATGGCATTTGCAGGGAAATGGATGGAGCTAGAAGGAATCATGTTGAGCAAGGTAAGCCAAGAACGAAGAGACAAACAGTACATGGTCTCCCTGATAAGTGGATGCTAAATCCAAAATGTTAGTTGATATGACAAAACTAACAGGACTTAAGAAACAAAGAACTCCCACTCATCTGGTTGACCACTACTAAATATCCCCATGCTGTTGATCACATATATGGTATATAACATGTGAGCACCATTATATGTTACAGACTGTGATAGACAATTTGCTCCAGGAAAGTTAGAATGAACTTGTGACTTTAAATGAGCATCATTATTCCACAATACTGTGAAATTCCGGAAATTATGTATCACTTAATCACAATAAAAAAAAAAAAAGAACCTCAGGGAAGGGAGGGAGGGAGGGGATGGTAGGGGGAAAACAATGGAGGGGGTAACAATGTTTAAGAGGAAGTGTACTCATTACCTCACTCATGTAACTGTAACCCTCTGCATAGTATCTTTACAATTTAAAAAAAAAAAAAAAGCCAGTCGGGGGCTGGGAAGGTGGCTCAGTGGCATAGTGGCATGCCTTGCATGCATGAAGCCCTGGGTTCGATTCCTCAGCACCACATAAGCAGAAAAGGCCAGAAGTGGTGTTGTGGCTCAAGTGGTAGAGCGCTAGCCTTGAGCTGAAGAGCTGAGGCACAGCGTCCAGGCCCAGAGTTCAGGCATCCAGATTTCAGGCCCCACACTGACCAAAAAATAAATAAATAAAACAAAAAATAAAATAAAAAGCCAGTCAGGCACTGTCTCCATCGTCTTCTTCCTACCCCAGCGGCTTCAGCTTCCCTTACATATGGGAAGCAAGGAGGAGGGGACCTTCTAAACAGCTAAGAGAACAGAAACCTATGGCTGCACAGGGCAGACTCTATAAGAACTAGAGGCTAGACCTATTTAAAGCTCCACATGCGTTTCAAGTGCAACAAAGATGATCACTGAGAGCCCATATAGACACCACCAGAAAATGTCTTCGTTCCTTAAGCTTCTTCCCTCCCTGACCTATAAATGAGAAATAATATGAGGCTGGGGAGGCTGGCTGGCCTCAGGAAGAGCTGTGTGAACACCTTTACCCCAGGACTCCTGTCTTACTCCTTCAGGTATACCATCCACACCCCATTCTGGGACCACAGAGGAACGGTGATGCACCAGACCATGTAAACCCAAAATGCATTGAGAACTGGGGGAGGACACCCTCATACACAAGGATTCTTCCAGTGACAGACAAAATACCACAAGGGAAGCAGGGGCAGAGCATCTCAATATCAATACATAACTTGCAGAAAACCACAGGTGGCCAGTAAATACAAAAACTGATGCTCTACCAGAAAGTGGCCAATCATAGACATGACTGTTCCTGTCACTGTCATCTGCAACAGCAGGACTCAAAGACAGCAGAGAGGGTGGGGATAGCTCAGCAGCAGCATGGTGTCTTCTTATCTCCACAGCCAGTCCTGCCCACCTCTCCCAGCAGGCCAGGTTCGCCCCAAGGACTTCTAAAACAGGGGCTATGGTTGGCAGAAGAGGAGGAAGTTGTGAGGAAAAGTTGAGGACATGAGTGCCTGAGCCCTGCTTCCAAAGGGGAAGCTGCAGCAGTGGAGAGGCTGCGGTGCCCCAGGCCCTCAGATCTGTGTGGTCTCTACTTGCCAAGTACTGTGTACACTTCCACTTAGACTCTGGGGGCATCCCTTAAGATCGTATCAGTGAACCCATTTTGGCTGATGCTAAAGTATGGATTTCTGTCATGGTTAATAACATCCTGGGAAGGAGTTAAGGTGTGGGGTATCCAAGTTAAGGTATGGGGTATCTTGGCAGTTTAGACTGACCCAGTCACCACTTATCAAGCACCAGGCAAAGTTCTCAGTGCTGGAAAATGCAAGGATAAAGATGACAAGGTCTCCAATCTCAAGTCTCCAATCTCAAGTGACCAAGCAGATATTCACTTGGCCAGAGCACCTCTGAGCCGTAGGGCTAACACCAAAGACCTTACAACTGACAATGGTCCTGATTCAAACCATCAAGTAGGTCAAATTTCTTTTAAGTGATAACCCTGCCACAAGCAAGCAGAAGCAAGGGGCCAGGACAGCATCACAGAGCTACACGTGTTCTAACCTTAACAGCAGCGGGCAGATTCCACATGCCATTTCCAGTGCAATCACTGCTGTTGCTCACATGACCATGGCAGGCTGGGACTACAGAACATGCCACCACCTCCAGCCTAGAGCCAGGGAAGCTGGCAGGCACAGAGGATGAAGAGGAAGCCTGTGGCCTGGCTGACTTTCCCAACACCTGGCTCTAGATGGGCTAGAACCTCACTGAAAAATGGTTAAAAATGCTGAAAATTGTCGTGCAAACAGCCAGCCCCATGTGTCTACCAGACACCAGCAGAAACCAAGGGCAATCCCTGTTTGCAGCGCAGTTCACAAGGCCTGCAGTGCAGCCTCAGGTACAGTTCCAAGGAGACCATGGTGAGGGGAGACCATGTATACTCAGGCTGCAGAGTTCAGTATTCTCAAATGACACAAATTTCCCTACACCACGCACACAGCAGGCCTGGACATTTCTCCTGGAACCTACAGGTAGTAGGCTACATTGCTACCATGGAAATGACTTGTATTCACTGCTCACCCCAAACTCTCATTTCATATTCTTCACAAACTGAAGGTGACTCACTCGCTGACTCACACCACCACCTGATGGTGGGTAGAGATCATCACCTGTAACCAATCTATTTTTCACCTTTGCACTTCAACTAAGTGTATGACTCACGCTCTGTAGTTTGGGAGGATCACTACAACTTTTATCTTGCTTTTGAGGAGAAAGATTTTGCCAAGATTAAGGGCAGGGAAATGCTGCAGCTCACACACTAATTTAGCACAACGGCTTGTCCTATGGTACTAAGAGCCACTCTGCGTCAGCAAAGTGGCTGAGTCTGGTCAAAACCTCATGTGACAAAGGAGAGGGTAACAATGGACAAGAAATGTAGTCATTACCTTACCCATGTAACTGTAACCCGTCTGTTCAGCATCTTTACAAAAAACAAAAACAAAAAACCCTTGTGTGACAAACCCAAGGCAGACCAGTTTGTGGTACCCCACATCCCACAGACCTGCAGGCTGGAGTGGGGAGTCACATCAGCCAGGAAGGAGGCCTCAGGTCACTAGGCCTCTCCTCTCCTGCCCCTCCCCCAAGCCGCTCTGTAGACATGGAGGGCACTTCAAAGGTGGAACTGGTTGCCAGGAGGCCACTAAGCAGCTGTTTTCTTGTTCCTGTTTAACTTCTCTCAAGAGAGCCAACTTATCTGCTCAGCAAAGCAGGTGTTTTGTGTTCTTACGAGCTGAGCCGAGTAAAGCAGACTGGAAGGTTATCTTGCATACTTCTGGGGGCACCTTGTCCTGCCAGGGCCCGTGTGTGCGTGGTGGGAAAGGGAGACTCTGCCACTGCCAGCCTGGCACCCTCAGCTCTCCAATTCTAGGTGCAGCCTGGCCCTACCCATAGCCTGGACACTGGGATCTTATCATCTTGTTAACACATTACAGGTAAAATGAGGAAAGTTTTCAGGTTCTTAGGAAAGACCAGACTAAGTGCCTGCATCTCTACTTCAACACGCTGCTAGATCATCCCACTAATGACTACATCCCACATCTAACCCACTGTTACATATGAGTGTTTAACATAAAACACACAAAAACAGTTTTAAAAATGTGAAAGCTTACTGGGCACTGGTGGCTCATTCCTGTAATTCTAGCAACAAGCTGAGATCTGAGGATTGTGGTTCAAAGCCAGCCCAGGCAGGAAAGTCCATGAGACTCTTTAATAAACCACCAAAAAGCCAGAAGTAGAGCTGTGGCTCAAGTGGTAGCACACCAGCCTTAAATGAATTAACTAAGGGACAGAGCCCAGGCCCTGAGTTCAAGCCCCAGGACCATCCTAAAACAAAACAACCAAACAAACAAAAATTCTCAAAGCTCAACATAGTTTTTGTGGACGATCACTGTGCCATTACCCCACATAGAGGGGCAGTCCTGCTCTCCCTCCTCTCCTCAGCTTGCATGACCACTAGTCAGCGAAGCTGGGAGAACAGTGTACTTCTTTCCCTTCCTGAACAGTCTTACCATCCCCCAAATGCCCTGCCAGCCCTCCTTACCTTCAGTCTCCTCCCACCATGGAGCCATCTTCACAAGCAGCAAACATCCGGTGGCACATTTCTTTCTCCTTGTCCATGTAGTCTTTGTAACAGCTGCAGAGAAACAGGAGGAGACATGCAATGGCTCAGGTGCAGACACTGAAAACCCAGCAGGCTTTAGCCTGAGCCAGGAAGGGGCGAAGGGACGCTGGGAGACAGAGAGACAAGCAAGGCTCCAGCCTGCTCAGGAAGATTCTTACACAGTGTCTTTCTTTGAAAAGATGGTGGCCACTGTCAGCGAACTTCAGGCCATGTTTTGCCCAGTGACCCTCCCACTCTCAGTATCTCCAACTTTCTTGCTAAGGAATAGTCAGGTTCCCACCCTCCACACTTACCATGAGAGGAAACTATTCCACACCACAAGAAATGCCTAGATAGCACGAGAGGCAACAATGCTGCAACTGGACCCAAATAGAAGGGGTGCACACATTCACACCTTAGAGCCCAGAAATCTTTAACTAGAGCTTCAGATTCCATCTTTAAAGAAGAGGAGGCCAAGAATGTCACTGATACACAGCAGGAAGATACTACTTACTAGAAGACCACTCACAGGAGGGCACTTGATTTTGTACAACGGACATATAACCTTTTGAGAAAAGATTCCATTTCTACAAGACTAATGATAATTAGGCCTGGCAGGCCCATTTGGCATCCTGCTAGGACCTACTGGGCACCGTAGTCCATTGGAGGCAAGCAATGGAAGTGGGTGGAGAGTCTTAAGCACGAGACCTTTTTTTTTGGAGGGGGGTCCAGTTGTGGGGCCTAAACTCTGGGCCTGGGCACTGTCCCTCAGCTCTTCAGCTCAAGGCTAGCGCTCTACCACTTGAACCATAGCGCCACTTCCAGCTT